AAGTAACCAAGAAACTAAGTAAAGCGAATGAACTTTGGAAAGAATAAAATAGTAAAAACCTTGCAAAATTGTAAAAGAAAAATTATGTTGTATTGCTTGATCGTAAGAGGAAAAAGCTGCTCTCTCCCAAACACATGCGTTTGAGGTTGTTTTTATAGAGAAAACATGATCAATGCGGTCATTTACTGCTCATAATTGTATTAATCCGCATTAATCATGTAGGTTACAATTTGACCGAAACGGCTTGAATTTGAACTATATTGGGCTTCGCGTGGATCTTCCGAACTCTTTCTTGTTGACTCCGAACTCCCGCGTCTTGACGCTGCCGCGAACCTCGAACAATATTCTCCTCGCTTCGGCCTTCCTTTATGCGAACTGTATGTTGAATAAGAGCGAACTCCGTACTGGTAAAGATCGAGCTCTTTAATAAACTGAATCGAACTTCCGACAGGTCGAGCACGATTCTCGCAATGAAACATCTAGAAATCCAAGAGGATTATTATGTAATAATGACGTGGACAGATCCAAGTGGATCCTACCGAAGATGTGTGGGATCCGACCCCAACACTTAATAGTAAATATTAAAGAAACACATAAAGACTAACAGCTGATCATGAGTTAATTGTGGAGAGATAGAGAGAAAAATTAACATACTTTTCTAATGTTGAACAAAACTCTAGAAACTAAAATAAATTTCTAGCTTCTTTAAAGGGTATATCAATGTATGAAATGAAAGTTAAACTTATACTTTGAGGCATTTGAACCTTAAACTAATTATACTCTTCTTGAGTGGTTTTGTGTTTCTTATTTTAAGAAAATTTCAAATCAAAATTCCTAAGTTCTTGCTACCAATAGCTTCCACGGTTTATTTGGAAACTAGTCATTATTGCCACTACTACTACATTCAATAGAAGAATTATACTGCAAAATTCATATAATCAAAATAGTATGATAAATCACACATATAAGCTAATTCATATAAATAATAATTAGATGTACTTGTTTCCAATATCGGTTTTGGCTACCTATGATAAGAAAATTTATCATGCCTCTCAATTTCGAGAAGCTGACATAGATGATGATCCATTTTTTAAGCTTCGGCAACAAATTAGGTCTATCGTCTTATTGCAATAAAGAAACATTTTATCAAACCGTATACCAACCTAAAATAAAATTGACGCCACAAACTTAATTTGATGGAAGAAATATAATTATTTTTTACTACACACAACTCCAGAAATGGGAAAAAAAAAATTAAAGGCAATCTAACATAATCATAGTCTTTCTCTTTCTGAATCACTTGATGTTATATTTTTTTTTAATCAATTATGGATTTGTCATTTTTTAGGATGACATTTGTGGATTTTGCCCTTTTTTTAATAGTTTATGGATTTTACCCTTTTTCAGGTTACGGAAACATGCGTTTTATTCGTTATGTTTGGGTTTAGTCGGTTGTGGTTGTTCTTAGGGTTTAGTATTTTGTATAAACTACGTATTTTTACCAAAAAAAATCCGAAATACGTACATTTTTAAGTGTTAGAAAATGGCAAATCCATAAAAATTTTGCAAAAATGGCATTTTCAAAAGATTTTGGTAAAAAAGGGCAAAATCAACAATAATCCCTTTTTTTCCATACTTGCTCCTTATGTATCACTTCATGAAATCAATCGTGTTTTTTTCGGATTATATAAATCACCCTGCATTCGAGTTCAAAGGAAAGTTTTGTGATTTTAGTATTAAAAGAAAAATATGTCATCAAGTGATACAAAAATAGCAAGACTGTGATTATGTTAAATTTCTTTTGTTATCTTTTTCTATGTTTGGAGTCGTGTGTGGTAACAAATAATTGTATTACTTCCATCAAATTGGGTTTAGGGCTTCGTTTTTTTTAGGTTTGTAATATATGGTCAAATATTTCTTTCGTGCAGTATGATGATGGATTTAGTTTGTTGCCAAAGCTAAAACATGTAGATCATCATCTGTGTGAGCTTCTTGAAGTTGAGAGGCATGATAGTTTTATTTATGAGAGGGAGCCAAAATCGGAATTGGAAAAATTACATCTATTTATTTTGTTATATTCAATTAGCTTACACATGTGTTTTATTATACTTATTTGATTATATGATTTTTGTAGAATAATGCTTTTACTGAATAGTAGTAATGGCAACAATGACTATGTTTCCAAGACAACTGTTGAAGTTATTGGTAGTAAGAACATAAAAACTTTGATTTGAAATTATTTTAAAATGAAGAACTAACAGTTATAATAAGTTTTATCAAGGAGATGATGTTAGGAACAATTAAATTGTGAGTATAATCCAGAAATCCAAAGCCGTTGAAGAAGAGGATAACCAATATGAGGTTCATATACCTTAAAATATAAGTTTAACTTCCATTTCAGCCACTGATTTACTTTTTGAAGAATCTCGAAATTTATTTCAGTTTCTAGAGTTTTGTTTAACCTTCGTAAAAGTATGCTATTTTTTTATAGCTCTCTACAATTAACTCATGATTTGTAGTCGGTCTTCGTGTGTTTTCTTACTATTTATTTTTATCAGGTTCATCTTATTTTTATGATTAGGTCTTGGTTTGAGAGAAGGGCAACCTATATCCATTGTGCATTAGCCTTCAAGCGGACATACAAAAATACAACAATATTCATTTAAATAATCGTATAGACCGTTTAAATATAACAGTTGAGGTAACTATGTTACATATTTTTTGTATATATGAATTCATCTATAATATTTATTATTAGTTTTTAAAAAAGTGTTTTTCTTCTAAATATTAAATGTTCAAATCTAAAGCTACCAAAGTTATAACATCCAAGGCATTACTTTTATTTAGATCAAACTATTTTCTTTCATATTTTTAAGAAGTTTTAAAAATTTAAATAAATCTCTCTATAAATTAATAAATATTAATAAATAATTTAATATTTAATAATTATTAAATTATTAATAATTATTAATAAATATCACTATAATTTAATAAATTATCATGGTCCCAATATTATTAGTTTATAGAGGTTTTACTGTATACATATATTTATTTCTTTGTATCTAGGTTTTCGATACGTTTTTTTTTTTTTTTTTTTTGAATATCAAGAGGTTCTGGGCCAAAGCCCGTAATCCCCCAGGCTCGAAACCACAACATGTAATATTAGTTTTGTCCCAAGCGTCACTCGAACCGGCGACTTCTAAGCTTTGCTTAAGATCTTTACCAGTTGAGCTAACGACACTTGGTAGGTTTTCGATACGTTTGGCTGATTAGGGTCTTTGTTTTTAAGTGCACCACTTGATCATTTGTAATTATTTAAACGCATTAGAAATTTTCTTTTTTTTATAATCTTCATTCGAATGAGTTTGCAAAAGAGGAAACTTCTAGTGATGAAACTGTCTTTGCTGTTGTTATCGAGGCTTGTTAAGGTGGTGATGCCACGATAGAGTCAATGTTCCTTGTATGTTTTCTCGTGGATTAGTCTGCAAATAGTTTGTTGGTGCGGTGATTGCCATTGAGTGTTTGACACATATAGTCACTTTGCAAAACTTAATTATTTTAAGCTTTCCATAAATTGGGGTATTACAATTTTCCTATTCACAGAACACAATGTCATAGCCCACCTAATTCTATACTCGTTTTGGTTTTGCTATAATACCACTTATAACACCTTGATCATTATCGTTTATTTTCTCCACGCCCGCTCTCAGCCTATGGATCTCATCTGTTCCACGGCTAATATGCTACTTAGAAAAATTTGAAATTCTTGTTTGCTGATCCTACAAATCACCACAAAACTTTTTTCATGATCTGTCCTTATTCAGACGATACTACAAATCATTTCATAGTTAATTATACATTCATGAAATTGTTCCAGCTCAAATACAATTAACTTTGTAACTATTTGTTCTAGCTATGTTGACAAATATTTATCAATGATAACATCTTTTATGAATCTGGTCTCGTCATGTCCAACCCTAGAAAAATTGTGAGAAGGAAGATCACATCTCTGTAAAAGTAATATAGTCCCAAAAGCAGTGAAATGCTACTTTCGGAAGCCACTATCAAAAAGCGTTATTTCTGCTAATTGAAGTTAACAAAAATGTTAGTCAGCAAAGTAACCCTAATTTTAATGAAGCTAACAAACATTCATCCAGTCTTACAGTCCAAAAAGAACAAAATAAATACTTTATTTACATTTTGTTCCTGTGAAGAGACAAAAGATATATGAGGAGGAAGAGGAAATCGCTATGTACTTGTGTCATCTGCAGAGCCGGCCTTAGGGACAGACTGATGAAGCATCAGCTTGTGGCCCTCTTAAATATAAGTAAATTTTCGGCCTCCAATTTTAACAAAGTATCCTTTAGTTCAGGTGGTTACGTTTAAGTTAATGGAGAAAGTTGGTGCAGGCTTCGAAGCCTCATTATTGCTCTTTATAAAACTTTCAGTTTTTTTTAGCTTATTAATTTTATAGGTCCAAAAAAAAATTGTTGCTTGTGGCCCATAAATTTGTTGGGCCGGCTCTGGTCATCTGCTACGATTTATTTGACCAAGCCAAAATCCTAAAGAAGTGTCAATTCTCATCCATGATTAGAGACAAATCAAGGGGTTTCAAGAAGTTACAATGATCTAACCATAAAGAGAATGAAAGAGAACAAGATGGAATCGATAAGGTGAAGAAGTAGTTGTGTATGTGATCTAAAAAAGTAAGAGACGATGAGCATAAAACAGTTTGGAGAGAGTCGTAGTTTGAACAAATAAGCGGACTCAGAAGACAAAAATGACAACATGTTTTGTTAGCGGTGTTGATCCAATTATTTTCATTTGGTGAAAGTTCAGAATAAAATAGTGGGACACATTCAAGATTCCTTAAACCTTTATTCCACCAACATATCATATTAGAAAAAAATCTAAAAATTAAATTTACCAAATATTTGATCTAAACACCTCAGCAGAATGTTGTCAATGTTTGCAACAACAAACTCAGAAGAATACTAAATTAATCTCCTTAATATTACGGTTTCTAATACAAATAAAATATCATATGTTATTTTCTTAAATGCAAAATTATTCTACTATAGAAACTCTACTTGTGAAAGGCTATTTTGAAAGGCTTCTTGAGCAACCATTAGGCAGAGAGCCATCAGCTTAATTTTTATTGGCCAAGTCTATAAATGATTTACTCATGATTTTTAACCTTAGGAGTTAGGATACAGTCTAGTGAAACTTGAGAAAGAGGTCCAAAATAACAAAATCAAACATTCCCTCCCATTCTACGATGCAATGAGGATTCCTCTCTAAAAGGGGGCTCAGCCTTCACCTTATCTAAGATCCTAAACACTTTGATGTCAATGTCACCGATTCTTTGAGATAAATTCTTGAACTGCGTCTACAGGTCCACAGGTAATAAACCATATTAGAGAGCACAACGAAAACAGATAACCATATTTTTGAACTACCTATTTTCTTATTGTTATGGTTGCAACTTGCAAGTTATATATCATTCTTTTTTTAACAATATAATGATATAGATGATCCTTGAATATAAATAAAAAAGGCTCTATATATGAATTTACAATTTGAAGATAGCAAATATTATATTTTGATAACTAAATATATGTTACGAGCTATTTCTTGTTTCCATTCAAAATTTTATTAATATATATATGTATTGTGAGCATGCGCATAGTAGACAATGACTAACAACAAGTGGGTCATAACAGTCTTGGTGAGCCCGGAGGACGACCCCTTGATGGTCCTCTCCTCGAATCGCTCGGCTTCATTTGAACTTTCTTTTGGAATCCAATTTGTTTCAACCCATCTTTCCCTCCTACTGCAATTCATAAACACATCACTAATAAGAAGAGTCGTACAAACATTTTTTCAGACAATCTAAAAATATAACGTTATGGATGATGCAGATTCTATCTTAGCCAGATTCTTCTTGAGAGAGTATACACTATGAAAAACTTAATTAATACGTTAAACACTAATAAATAGTGAACCAATATCGAATCGAGCGATAAACCCATTAAAACATCAAGGCATTCACAGAATCACATGTATATGCACATATATGCTTTAGAAGAAACAAAGAATATATGTAAATGCAACATATATCTGTATGTATGTAACAAAGAACTCACTGATTTTGCGGTGTAATGTTAAGGATTTTAATCTCATTGGCCCCTTTGGGGAGAATCATTCTTTGAAAAACCCCTCTTTATTCTCACTACCCCCATTCCTTCCCATTTTTTTCATAAACCAATTTTACCCATTATCCTTTCTTTTATCTATTTAATTCTACATTTAATTTAATACCAACAAATTCTTTATTCAACCAATCAAAAACATTCTCTTTCTTCTCTCATTAAAATCTAAACCTAACAAATCAACCAATCAAATCAACTCACCTTCAACGATATAAATCCTTCCTACGTCTCTACTCTTCTTCTTCTTTTTCTTCTTCCTCTTCTTCATCTTCAGCAGCTCCGATGTTCTTCTTCAGCAGCTCCAACGTTCTTCTTCTTCTTCTTCTTCTTCTCCATCCACCATTAAAAGATTTTTATCTTCTTCTTCTTACGATTCAAGCATCTCCAAACTAAAAGCGAATTCTTCTTCTTCTTACGATTCAAGCATCTCCAAATTCTTATCTCGTCTTTTCTTTTTCTTCTTCTTCTTCTTCATCCACCATTGAAGCTTACCATTAAAGCTTACGATTATGCATCTCCAAAGACATATCTCTTCTTTTCTTCTTCTTCTATTCCCACCATATTGTAAGGTAAGTATACTTGTTTTTTTAGTGTAGTATGATTGAGAAAAGTTGAATTCGTAGCTTGAATAGGGTTATTTGTTAAAATATTTTAGAATTGCAGATTTGGGACAACTTAAACTATTAGGTACAACTAAGTAGAATATTTACGGAAACTCTAAGTTTGGTGCAACTGGGACAAATGTGTACAACTATGTTGATGGTCTACTACGAAAGTTGTGAAATTATATGCCGTTTTTCTCTCTTTCATTTTCAGGGACAATGAAAAAGAATTCAGTCATAAGCTTTGATGGAGACGATGCAGGTGGTCTACCAATGACGGTGACGTTGATGCAGACGATGCGGGTGACCAAGGTTGATTTATGAGTGCTATTTATTAGGATAATTTAAAAAACGATATTGTTTGTATTGGTTTTGTTTATGAAACTTATATGTTCTGTGTTGTACAACTAAGTTTTATGAGTGCTATTTATTAGGATAATTTAAGAAACGATATTGTTTGTATTGGTTTTGTTTATGAAACTTATATGTTATGTGTTGTACAACTAAGTTTTAGCAGGTACAACTATGGTTGATTGCTTTGTCGTAGCTGTGCAAATTAAGTTGTTCAGTCTTGGTACAACTAAGTACAACTAAGGTCTATTGTCTTGGCCAATTTTATAATATGAAAAATTAAAACCAAATTGAAAAACTTAAAAACATGCATACACGATGGTAATCAAACTACACAACAAGTTTTTGACAAAAAATTTCAAAATTTTCTAAAATAATGAAATTCTTACATAAAATCTCACATTCATACACTAACAACCTTATACTTTCATGGTTACTTTGTAGTTTTGAACAAAAATTTTATAAATTTTTGAAATACTTGTATTTTGATAAATATAAATACACAGATACAAAGTAATGGTATTTTTATGAGGCAATACCATCGGTTCCACGCACAAAAATTAAACTAGAGTTGATAACAACTAGATTTACTAAATTCTCTATATTGTACAACTATGAAAAAAAATGTGCAACCGGGTACAACTGTACAACTATGAACAAATTTGTGCTATTTTTAATTATTATTTTCAAAATAACGGCGCCAGGTAAGCTATTTGTCAGATTTTTTAAGATATCTGTAGATTCTTTTAGATATTTTCAGATATTTAACTGTTTTTTTAATAAAAGCCCTTACAACCTACATATTTGTCAGATTTTTTGAAAAATTAAGATTTTTTTTTTAGTTCTAAACTCTTAGATTATATTCAATACATAGATTCATACATAAAAATATTAAGATTCAGATTCAAAGATACATACATAATTAGATAGGTTTTTAAACCAAAAAAACATAAACCCAGAAACATAGTTGTACCTGATCGTACCAGTTGTACCTAAACAATTAGCTTCATACATAACCTTAGAAACCAAAACACATCCGAACAATTGTACCTAAACACTTAGATTTATAAAAAACCTTAGAAACCAAACAGCCTTGGGTAAAAAAACAGTCTCTCCATCACCTCTACTATCACCAACAACCTTGGATACAAAACAACCTCTCCATCACCTCTATAATCACCATAATCTATGTTAAAACTAGCAGCCATGGTCTCACAATCAGACCTCACTACAGTTGCTATCTCTGAATGCTTTGGATCTAATTGCTTTTGTCTTTTGGCACTTCTAAGAGAGGCATATGGTTCACTTCTACAACTAGATCCCCCTCCTCTCGTAATAACCATTGTAATTAGTACCTGCAATAACAAATACAAATTCAATATCAAACATTCAAAAACAGTCTCAAATTCTATATAAATAACTACAAATTGGAACAAATTCAATCCGAAAATTACAACAAATTCTGATCCAAAAATTCATCCGTTTCACAAACAAAACCCAAAAGACATACGATGTTCTCGGAAGTGTTTTTTGCCTTGGAGGCGACAACCGAGCCGATCAAGTGCTTGACCAGTTTCCCGGATCCAGAATCCTACGTTGTACAATGCTTTTCTCATTGTTCCCATCGTCTTCTTCTTCTTCTTCCCCACGAGAGATCGATTTACGTTTTATCAATGAAATCGAAAAGGGGGTTTTCTTTCGCTGGAGCCAAAATTTGTCTATTTTGTTGGTTTGGAGTTGTCGTTCTTCTTCTTTGAGAGAAAAAGGAAAAAGATGAGAAATGAGAAAAAAAATTGGGTTAGAGTTTTTTTTTTTTTTGCCAATTGGGGTTAGAGATTCGATCCTTAGAATGGGGAATTAAAAGATCCGAAACCCGATCCAACAAATATGGATATAGATCCAAAGTTAGGTTGGGTCCGTAATTATGTTGAAAAGTCTATATTTTTTTGGTCATTTACTATTTTTCTGAATTAAACAAAACAAATAAACATATGTTTTTTATAAAGGGGGCTAAATAGAGAATGTTTGGAGGAGAGGGGGTCGACGAGATTAAAGTCCTAATGTTAATCCAACAGAGAAAGCTTGTGGTTGGCTGAGAAATAGAGAAGAAAGAAGGAGCAAATCAAATAAAATTGTAGAGACTTGTGAGTTGTTCTGAGCCATGCTTCTCTATTCACAAATCTATCTCTCTTCTTAATCCTCCATGTATTCACAAATATATAGCTTCTACCAACCTTTTTTTTTTATTTTATGATAATACTTCCACCAACTTGTTTATTAAAGAACTTTTTAATGACTGGTGGAAGCATGGGTAGAGTTGCCGCATAGTTCTTGATTCAAATTGAAAGAAAGCATCATTAGAATTTTGAAGAGAAAAGAAGAGGCTTGAGTGTTGCAAATTGATATATGTTTTTATTTTGGTTTCATAACATGAAATTTTCTAAAATTTGTACCATCTATACCAACGTTTTCTTAACACTTTTTTTTTTTAAATCAGAAAACACTACAATTTTGACTTGATTAAGGACCTTAATCCATATGTGGAAGAATACTGACCACCTTCATGTGGCCGACAAGTTTGAAAGTCCACTCTTTTGAAAGTCCACTACGACTGCCTATTTCATCAAGACATCAACATTACTCTTTCTTTAGAATATTACTAGGGGAGGTTCCCGCGCCCAGCGCGGGGTTGTATGTTGATTAAGACCAGAATTAATAATTAATATTTAGGGTTATCAAGTTAGGGATATTTATTGAATTAATTTTGTCAAGAGTCTAATTTTTATAACGACATTAATATAGAATTATGGTAAAACGCTATAACTTTTGATATATATTATTAGTAATCAACAATTAATAGTGTTTTTGAATCACAAACAATTATTAGTGTTTATATCTTGATATATATAATAGAATTAAATATAAAAAATCTATATATTTAAACCAACAATATATTAGCAACGTCCCGACCGCCACTGTCCATGGGTTCCCACGTCCAGTCTCGGTCTTTAGGCCCATCTTCTTTGTTTTGTCGTACTCTTGATTTTATGACATATTCATGCTTACTCGTTTCTTTCATATTAGCAACGCCCCGACCGCCACTGTCCGTGGGCTCCCCACGTCCAGTTTCGGTCTTTAGGCCCATCTTCTTTGTTTTGTCGTACTCTTGATTTTATGACATATTCATGCTTACTCGTTTCTTTCATATTTGTAATGCCACGACCGCCACTGTCTGTGGGTTCCCACATCCAGTTTCGTTCTTTGAGCACATCTTCTTGGTTTTGTAGTACTCTTGGTTTTATGACATATTCACGCTTCCTCGTTTCTTTCATATTTGTA